CTTGAGCTGGACTCAGAGAATTCCAGGAATCAGGCTCAGTCAACACCATGAGGCAAAGTTGGCAGCCCACAGAATTAGCTCTGATGTAAACTACGGACAGTAGCCTGTCAATATTGGTTGTAACACACAGATCGCACGAATGGGTCATGTTAATAACAGGGAAATGGGGGAGGGGGAGGGGTGAGGGCACATGGGCATTCTCTTTCAATTTTTCTTTTTTAAACTTAAAACTTTTATGAAAAATAAAATCTACTAATTAAAAACAAAACCAAACCCAAGGAGAGGTTGGGTCTGAGGACGGGACTGAACTTTAGGTTAAAGCGCCCTCCAGCGGAGTCCGGCTCGGAGTCCGCCATCCTGAGAGCAGGGAGGGGCTCTTAGCCTGACCCTGCCTGCCACCTGGTCCCACCCCAGGAGCTGCTGAAGGACGGGAAGAGGGAGACCACCGTCAGCCTGCTGCTCATCAACCCCACAGACCTGGAGGGGTGCTGAGGGCTGGTGCAGAGGCATCAGCGATGAGTCAAGCCCTTCCCGGGTCTAAACCAGAGTGTGGCTTTGGGCAATGATTTAATCTCTTTGTGCCTCAGTTTCCAATTCTGTATACCTGCAGGAAATAAAATGCAGGCCTACAACTCCTTATCCAAAATTCCAAAATAACAGAGATTTGGTGGCAAAACCTAAACTGAGGCTCTTCGTAGTCTTAATCTGAATAGTCGTACGTTCCGCTGCAGAGGGATTACTGTATGTGGCCATGGGTGTGGCCCGGACCCTGCTGGAGGTCTGGCATGGTAAACAGCCCAGGCACACTATTACCTTTCTAAGATTGAAAAATTCCAAATTCTGAAAAACACGTATCAGTGGTTTCAGATAAGGAATGTGGGCCTGTACCTGCTTCTCAGGGTGGTGAGCATTAAATGAGATAGAGTGTCAGAGCTACTAGCATGGAGTCTGCCAGCTGGTATGTGCTCCATAAATGACCTCTGCCCTGGGTAGGGTTGGATCTGGGCAGCAGTTGGAGAAATGCCCCGCCCCCAGCCCTTTTAATGAGCCAGGGGAGCCCACACTGACATCTAGTGGCCACCACTGGCCTTTACATTCTGAACTGATTGGTCCCTTTGGTATCATCCTTGATCATCGCTCTAGAGATGGCCCCCTAGAGTCCATGGGGGATGTGGGTGAAGATGGAGAAGACAGGTTTATTTATTGGAGCTGGCACACTGCAAACGCAGATTCCCAGATCACTGCCCACGGTGCCCGAGCGGATGTGCCAGGGAGAGAAAAGGAAACCTGCGGCACAGAAAAGACCCTGACTTCCTGTCCCCTGCTTTGCAGACCCTCCCACGGTGACCCTGTCCATCGAGCCACAGACGGTGCAGGAGGGCGAGCGTGTTGTCTTTACGTGCCAGGCCACAGCCAACCCTGAGATCCTGGGCTACAGGTGTGAGGAGCAGGGCGTGGGGCACTCTGGGGAGGGCAGTGCCCCTGGGTGTGGTGAGAGGCTCCAAGCCCTCACCCCACTCCCACCCCCACCCCCCGTGTTGCCTCTTCCCCCAGATGGGCCAAGGGCGGCTTCTCCATTGAAGATGCCCATGACAGTCACTATGAGACAAACGTTGACTATTCCTTCTTCACGGAGCCTGTGTCCTGTGAGGTTTACAACAAAGTGGGCAGCACCAATGTCAGCACTTTAGTGAATGTCCACTGTGAGTAGCTGCACGCACAGGGGCGGGGGCAGAGGGCCGGGTGGAACCTGGGGCGGAGGGAGGGGCCTGGGGTGGAGTGGGGAGGCTCCATGAGGCTGAGGAGACGAGAAGAAATGCGGGGGTGAGGGGGTAGCAGGGCCGAGAAAGAGGAGGAGGCTGATTGGAACTGACCCCATGGCACTGAGACCCTAACGACCCACTGCCCTCTACTCAGTCGCCCCCAGGATTGTGGTTGACCCTAAACCTACGACTACAGACATTGGCTCTGATGTGACGCTCACCTGTGTCTGGGTTGGGAATCCCCCCCTCACCCTCACCTGGACCAAAAAGGACTCCAACATGGTAAGCCCCTCGCTGCCTCTCCTGGGTGCTGGGAGGCAAGAGCTATCTAGGGAGGGGCAGCATTCGTTTTCAAGTTGAACTTGGGCTATTTCTAAGCTCTTGGGACTTAGAGGACAAGGACAGTGCTTGCGATCAACTCTCCTCCAAGAACAACTGTCCGGCTCAGGGGCCCTGGGAGGGGCCTGCTGGCGTGTGTGGGAGGAGGGGGAGGGCCTGAGGGGAGGCGCTGGGCTGGCAAGGGATGTGGTGAAGGCTGCATCCAAGGTCCAAGGTCGGGGGCTGGAGAGGTCACGGGAGAGGGAAAGGCTGAGTTCACAGCCCTCCAGAGACCGGCACTGACAGTTGGGGCAGAAGAGGGACTTCAGGGTGAAGTGGTCACTAGAGCAGATCATCGGAGAGACGCATCCTGTGACCTCATCGCCCTCTAGCCCACCGGCCTCTGTCCGCCCGTGCAGCGCTGGTGTGTTTAAATGCCAACCTGTTTAGAGCCGGGGGAGGGACCAGACAGACTCCTGACCCTGCCTCCCTTCGGGGAACTCACTTGTGGCCCTTCCTGCTTTCTCTCCGATACGTCCAATGCGGGGGCCCCCCGGACCTAGGGGCCCAGGCCTCCTGGCTCCCCACCCGAGGCTGCTCTCTCTGCCCAGGTGCTGAGTAACAGCAACCAGCTGCTGCTGAAGTCGGTGACCCAGGCAGACGCCGGCACCTACACCTGCCGGGCCATCGTGCCCCGCATCGGAGTGGCCGAGCGGGAGGTGCCGCTCTACGTGAATGGTGAGTGGCCCGCGAGGAACTGGGCCCCGGGGGCAGGTGCTGTGGGTTCCAGCCGACCCTGACTGCGTCTTCTGGTTGCAGGGCCCCCCATCATCTCCAGCGAGGCGGTGCAGTACGCTGTCAGGGGAGACGGCGGCAAGGTGGAGTGTTTCATCGGGAGTGGCCAGCAGATGGCCACATCCCTCAGGAGCCAGGTGAGATCTCTGGCCCCTGTCCAGTCTCCAGACCCCAGTCCCAGCCTCCACATTCCAGCCCATCACCACGGATACGCCCCAGCCTTCACCACACCATGTTTCCCCCTAAATTGGTTCTCCCCACCCAAGACTCCCAGTCACCATGGCCAGTTCCATAGATCAGAGACACTTGGGGAACCCCAAACATGCAATGTTACCACAGCTAAATACCCCCACAGGAGTGCATTGCCCAGTGAACTGTCCCTGGTTGGTGACATCACAGTAGACACCCTAGATATGTTGTGGGAATGGGAGTGGAGGTGGCATCGCTGCCGCAGGAGAGGAGACACCGCCACTGCCACCTCCACAGCCACCACCCCATTGCGGAGGCAGCACAGGAGAGGCAGCGGCATGGGAGAGGCCTCGGCGTGGGCCCTTCCACAGAGGCAGAGGGAGAGGGGGCTACACAGTCCTGATCCCAGTGCTGCCCCTTCTGCAGAAGCAGCCACAGAGGCAGCGGCACAGCCAGGTCCCAGTGCCACGCCTCCTCAGAGGCTGGACAGGGTACGGCCTGCTGTG